TCCGTGCAGGCCTGGTTGCCCCCAACTGCCCTCCCCTGCTGGCCATCTTGTGGCAGCGATCTTATGACCACATGGGGGCAGCCATCTTGTGCAAGGGCATGATGGTCAATTTTCATATTACCTCTTTATTATATAAGATATATTAAATCTTAAATAAATTTGAAACCTACACAAAATGAGTAAATTTCTTGAAAAATATGAAAAGCTATGGACTACCCCAACTCTCTCCCTTAAACATGTGTGGACAGCCGCTACAGTGTTTGGACAGGTTCAAGCCTTGGACTGAGGAGAGGGCACAGTCTCTCATAGCCACGTTCAAGTCCCATCTTGGAGTGCAGGGCCCTCCCAGCACAAATATAGCCAACAGCTGTAGTTTGTGGTATCCTCCCAAAAACCCATAAGCCCAGTCTAATCATGAGAAAAACATTGAACAAATCCCAATTGAGGAACATTGTAAAAAATATCTGATCAGTATTTTTTCTTTTATTTATTTATTTATTTATTTACTTACTTATTTATTTTTAATTAAATCTTTATTGTTCAGATTACACATTAACATGAGAGATAAGCATCAACCGGTTGATGCCTGTATGTACCCCGACCGGGGACTGAACCTGTAACCCGGGCATGTGGCCTGACCGGGAATCCAACCAGCGACCCTCTGTGCACAGTGCATTTTTTTTTCTCTTTTTTTTTGTTTTTTTCTTTTTTGTTTTTTTGTTTTGTTTTTAAATTAAATCTTTATTGTTCAGATTATTACATTTGATCCTCTTTTTCCCCCCATAACTCCCCTCCTCCCAGTTCCCACCCCACCTTCTGTAGTCAATCCCCACACACTGTCCTCACCCGTAGGTGCACGATTTTTGTCCAGTCTCTTCCCGGATCCTCCACACCCCTTTTCCCCCCACAGGAATAGTCAGTCCACTCCCTTTTTTGATAAGTATTTCTTAACACCATCAAGGTCATCAAAAACAAGTACACCCCGAGAAACTATCACAGCCAAGGGGCCCTAAGGAAACATGCTGACTAAATTTAATGTGCTATCCTAGATGGGATCCTAGGGCAGAAAAAGAATATTAGGTAACAGCTAAGGCAAGCTGGGAAAAGTATGAACTTCAGTTAATAATATTTCAATATGGAGTCATTAATTATATCAAATATAGGCTAATAAGGTAGTAACAGGAAAAACTGCAAAGTATATAACAACTTTGTCTTGAAATAATGTTGATGAGATGCCATAGGAACTTAATTCTTGTTTGTATCAATTAGCCTATGGTAAAACTGGTTTTGTTATACATCATTTTGCTTAAAGTCATGGAAGCTATCAATGACGTTAAGTGAGAATTTACTAAAACTATTCTAAAAAATTAAGTTTATTATATAAAGAAAAAAACACTGCCTAGAAAAAAAATTAAACTAGGAAAATCTAAAAACAAGAATACACAAGCACCCATCCATTATTCAGCACAGCAATGACATCATCATATCTCATACAGCTCTGAAAAAGTGCACTCTACACTCATGAGAGAATGAGAAAAAAGGCAGTTAACAGCAAATACCATCGTATTACTACAAAAATAATTTGGGCCTCACGGATTCTATGAAAGGGTCTGAAGGAGTTCCATAGTCCTGGGAACAGAATTTGAGACCACCTCCAAGCATAATGGAAACAAAAAAATTCTAGCTTGCAATTCTGCTGATGTACTGTGTCAATGGTTACTTCTTTTACTTTTTAAAAAACTAACTCTTTCTCCAACCCAATTCCCCAAATGTATTAAAGAGTCCCATCATATTTTTTACATTACTCAAGCCTCTAAGAAGAACAAGAGTGCCTCTAACAAGTCGAAAAAAATGAAGATAAAAGATAGAATTAAATACTCATACAATAGGAAATATTAAGCAATATTTTCCCACTTGGTTAGTTTAAACATTACAAATATTTAAATACTACTAACTTGTAACTTTCAGATGTTAATATAGCATAAATCATCCCTACCAAATTGTTTTATCATTTTATTAAATGTCTCCCTTTAGAAGGTTAAATGTAAAATGGTGGAAAGACAAAACACCTAACCTAATGTAGGCTGGTTAGTTTACTTGCTTTAAGGTAGAGGCTAGCCAGTCATTCCCTCCAGCTCCCATTTTTCTAAGCCAGTTATAATATTCATTTATATCCCTCTTGAATGAACAGATCTAGGCAATGGTCATCAATGGCTGCTATTATCACAAGAAGAGAGACAGACTATGTCTCCTGATGATAATACACACACCATCAATGAAGTATTATTATTGTAAAAAAAAAAAGCGAACCTGAATCTGAGCAAGTGTCTAATCTGAATGACCAATTTGCAATAAAGATAACTGACTGAAGAACACATTAAACAATCACCATGGGAAAAATCCAGATTGTGGGAAACTCTACAGGACAGACTACTTCATTTCCTCAATATATTGAAAGGAAAAATTAAAAGCGAATCGGAGGCCCAGCTGGAGTGGCTAGTGGTTGAGTGTGGACTTATGAACCAGGAGATCATGGTTCATTTCCCATCAGGGCACATGCTGGGGTTGCAGGCTTGACCCCTAGTGGGGGAGCATGCCGGAGGCAGCCGATCAATGATTCTCTCTCATCATTGATGTTTCTATCTCTCCCTCTCCCTTCGTCTCTGAAATCAATAAAAATACGTATTTTTAAAAAATCATTTATAGAATCAATTTTAATACAACAAAAAATTTTGACCCCTACTATAGCTTATAAAGCAGTTTCCTCTGGTAAGAAAAATAATATATAAAATATTCAAACATTTAATGACTTTCCTTAAGTTAAGGAACATATTCAATTTTTTTTAAACTAAAAGGATATTTCAGTTTAGTCTACCTCAATTTATTAATAAAAAGTTGACTCCTATACTTTAAGCATTTCTTAGTGGTTTATTTCTAAAGCGATATCAATTCTGGACTTTTACAAAATGTTTTAAGACATATTAAATGTACATTGTGTTCTTTAGTATATTTAGTACCACATATAAAGAGATTCAATCCATATTTTTCAATATTTACCACCTAAGACTAACAACACTAAAACAAAAATTGAACTATAGGCAACTAGAATAATGAATACATTTTTAAAAACTAGAAATATTGCCCGGCATGGCTCAATGGTTGAGCATCGACCCATGAACCCAAGAGGTCATTGGTTCGAGTCCCTGAAGAAACTTAATGAACAAATATAAAAAATTGCTCTCATTACTTTTTAAATAACTTGCTCCAACCTCTCAACAGCACAGAATTTAGCATAAAAATGGTTAAAACTTCATTAATATACTACAGGTATTCAGCTATAGAATTTAATACTACCTACTTAGATACATATTTTAACAGGTAACAATAAATTTAAAGCAATTCTATTCAGAAAGACAGATATGTAGTGAATACCCTAGTGGCAAAGTAAAGTATTCAGAGATAGATAGTTCCACCGCTTAAGCTATGAGTTCTTAGGGAAGATAATAAACTTCCCTGATCTATTTGCCCACCTACAAAAGTGAGGACAAATATCTACCTTTAACGGCTGTTATGAGGATAGTCTGACAAAGTACAGACTTAGAAAACAGCTACTGTTGCTTTTCTAGCATTTTTATTATCACTAAAAGATTTAAAATACTTCAACTAAAATGACTTATGAAAGACCATTAGCTTTAAATAAGATGCTACTTATGGAAAAGTATACACCATATTTTAAGACAGGACCCTTAATTTTAACTTTGTTTCTGAAATTATAGTGAAAATAAAGTAACTTACCATCAGTTTTCCATTTATAAGCATCATGACAATTACCTTCACAAATCAAGCTTTTTCCATGTCCATTTTATTCTCTATTAACAAGTCATCATTTTAAAGTTTAACTATTTTTTGACCACTTAAGAAAGTAAACAAGTTTGAAGTAGAAATTCAAGAAAGGTTGGGACCAAATTAATACAGGTAAGCAAAATTGCATTTTGCTGTCAATCATTAGACTGTCCTACATTTGAGCCTGAACAAAGGACATTCACCAAGTTAAAATTTACAAGCCTCTCAATATACTAGTGACTCTCAACTCCATAGCAATGTGAAAGATAGACAATTTGACCTTCACATTATTCCAACAATACAAATTTGTCAAAGAGTCTTCCACCTAACAAATCAGAGCTCCCAAACTGACAGTTTATATAGTTACCACCCTTACTTTAGGTAATAGAAACATTCCTAATAAAGAGTGTATAAATCAGTATTTAATGGGATCTGTCAAAATGCTGCAGGAGAATTGAAAATGAAATTATCATGGGACAACATTTTTTTTGTACAATGACAAATCATCATTAATATACCCTCCTGGTGGATTTTATTTTTTACTTATTGGTAAGGTATACTTAACCACTATTCCTACTGATTTTATTTCAGAATACAATTCAATCACAATCACAAGGCAGCAATGTTTATTAAATCTTCAGACTTTTATAGAAAGAATATACGTGGCAGCTACTCTTAATTCTTAATTATTTTAACTGTTTTACTCCCTCTGCCTGCTCATAAGTTCACATGATGTGAGATTTGGAGGCATTTAATTTCCTCAAAGTAGTATAATTCTCTTGACTTCCCTAAGGCAGAAAGTTTTGAGGAAAACATAAACACAAACTATGACATCAGTATATCTTACACTATACCACTAGAAAGGGGAAAAAAGGGAGGAGATGGGGCAAAAAAATCAGAAAACTGACTAGGTTGTGCTCCAAAAGAATTTAAACTATCTGTAACTTTCATATCAAGAGAGGAGTTAAAGTTTTGTTTTTTAAAGCTTGTTTGAAATACATTTTTAAAATAAAATCATAACTTAAACACTTCATAGCTGTAGATGATAGTACCCTATTATGCTATCTTTGAACCACTCACCGAAATTCGGTCAGGTTCTCCATCTGCCAAACCTGCCTCCATAGTGAAAGAAGATGGGTTTATGCTTCTCTTTCCACTAAGGTTTATTCATCCCGTGAATCTGGAAATTCTAGAAAAAGAAAATAATATGTATTAGGAGTAATAAAAATGTGACAAGTGGAAAATGAAGCATTAAATATGTTAGAAGGGAGAAATCATTTTAGGTGAGGTTACTGAGAAATCCAATAATGGAAAAAAGAAAAAAAACCACAGATTTTGACATAGCTTGAAAAATGGTAAAGGTTCAGAGAAAAGTTAGAAAAACATATTCCAAGTGAGGAGAAATAGCAAGAACAGGGTTAAAGACATGAGACTGTTCAAAATTTGAAAAGATATTTAAATCTTCTTTTAATTAATGAAATAATATTAGATATTAGTTTTTTCGTTATGACACTAGCAAAAACTAAAGAGTGTGCTAATATCCAACATTGGTGAGCATGTAGGAAAACAGGTATTCTCATATATTTTTGTGATAAGAATATAAATCATAACTTTTTTTTTAAGGACAACTTAAAATACAAAGGATTCCATCCAACAATTTCAAAGCTAGGGATTATTTCACATATATACTTCTACAAATGCATAAAGATATATAAATAAACACATCCAACAAAGTAATAGATATGATGGAAAAACTGGAAACAATGTCCATCAGCGGAGTTTGCTTAAACTAGATTACAGACATAAAATGAAATATCATACATTTTAAAAAATGAAATAGCTCTAGACATACTAAACTGTAAAGAATACCATGATACATGAGATAGAAAAAGCAAATGATAGAATGTAAAATACTCTGTGTGTTTCTATATTTTTAAATTTTTATAATGAACTTGTATTACGTTTGTACTTATTTTTATTTTGAGAGTCTTAGAAAGAGTATCTTCACCACAGGTCTTTTTCTTTTGTACGTTTAAACTAACAAAAACTCCAAGCAGATCTCCTATAGTAACTACATGTATTCAGAAGTCTCAAATAACCTCTCTAATAATTCTTCCTTAAAATAGCTGACTAACACAACAAAACTCAACAAATCAGTAGACTTCTAGTCATTTCTTGGAGTTCCAAAAACACTTTTTTTTTTTTTATGGTGGAAACGAGACTTTTAATACGGTCTTGCAGGAGCAGGTGTCTGGTTGAACAGGCACACTTGGAGTAATGATCACAGGCTATTTATCCCTAGGCTGGTAGTGTCCCTCCTCTGGTCCTCATTGGCTAAGTACTATGGGGTTAGCAATTTTTCCCATAGTCACCTAGGGCTTATTGTCTCCTATTGGGTTATTTTTTTTTTAATGGGCTGAGGCTGCCCTGACCGGTTTGGCTCAGTGGATAGAGCGTCGGCCTGCGGACTGAAGGGTCCCAGGTTCGATTCCAGTCAAGGGCATGTACCTTGGCTGCGGGCATCCCCAGTAGGAGGTGTGCAGGAAGCAGCTGATCGATGTTTCTCTCTCATCAATGTTTCTAACTCTCTATACCCCTCCCTTCTTCTCTGTAAAAAATCAATAAAATATATTTTAAAAAACGGATTAAAGAATGAATGAATTTAAAAAAAAATGGGCTGAGACCTTTTCTAGTTGTCTCCACCTCCCTTTGTCTGGTTGTAGCAGGCGTATCTTCCTGGAAAATGTGCTACTGGTCACATACACAGTTCTTTGTTCTTGTACCCTCTTCCCTCCTCCCCACATACTGTATGCCCCAGGGAAATACAGTAACGACTGGCCACATGCTGTTACTTTTCTCTAAAAGTTGACTATGCTGAAGATGGATCACAGAGGCCTACTTCCTTCAATGCTGACTATCAGCAGAATCTTCAGAGGATGGATTTTGATATTTTAACATTTACTGTAGCTCTGAGTGCATTTGGTTATCTGATAGAAGAACTTAGATGTGATAAGTTTATCAGTAGAATATAGTGATGAAACTACCTCAAAAAGAACCTATGCATTCAAGACAACAGTCATACCAATCCTATAACTTGATTTTTTTTAAAAATCAAAGTATATGAGAACAAGTCACTACTCAGTTGGGGAGTTGTGCGGAGAGGAACTTATGTAAAAGAAGAAAAGAAATTTTTAAAATGTCAGAAACCCTGTGACTCCCCTATTGCTCTTTGAGTTTGTGATTGATCAGAATCTTTCCCCTGCATTGTGGAAATGTTTTGCAAAATTGCTTCAATGCTTGAAGGGCGTGGCTCAGTGGTTGAGTCTGGACCTATGAACCAGGAGGTCTTGGTTCAATTCCCAGTCAGGGAACATGCCTGGGTTCCCACAACCCCCAGTGTGGGGCATGCTGGAGGTAGCCAATCAATGATTCCCTCTCATCATTGATGTTTCCATCTTTCTCTCTCTCTCCCTTCCTCCCTGAAATCAATAATTGCTTCACTTTTAAAGTAGTTTTATAAATTTGAGATTTGATGAAGAAAAAATAGCAATAATAGAGCCCATGATGATAAAAGGAATCAACCAATAATGATGATAGGAATAAGGAGTCACCACCAAGTTATTAGGACTATGAAGAGAACTTGGAATTGTGACAATGTGTTCTCTACTTGTGAAATTCAATCCTTTTTAGCATAACATTGATTTCTATGTGTTTTTTTCCCTTTGTTTTAGTGTTCTTGGTAATTATTGGCTTTGTTTTATAATTTTTTTAATTAAATCTTTATTGTTCAGATTATTACATTTGTTCCTCTTTTTTCCCTCCATAGCTCCCCTCCATCTAGTTCCCACCCCACCCTCTGCCCTTACCACCCCACTGTCCTCATCCATAGGTGCACAATTTTTGTCCAGTCTCTTCCCGCATCTCCCACACCCCTTTCCCCCACAATAGTCAGTCCATCATTCCCTTTCTATGTCCCTGATTCTATTATAATCACCAGTACATTCTGATCATCAGATTTCTTAACTTGATTCTTAGATTCACTTGTTGATAGATGCATATTTGTTGTTCATAATTTGTATCTTTACCTTTTTCTTCTTCCTCTTCTTAAAAAGAGAGAGAGAGATGGGGTGAGGAGGAGGAGAGGAAAAAAAGGAAAGGGGGAAGGGC